TTTGCCACTGAAGGGCCATGATTATTCTGCTAGGAAATGAAAATGCCTGACCTCTCCTTCCACACCCCTGGCCCCCACCAGTCTGGCATTAAATTGATGTAATATGATTACGTGAGGGATAAATGAAGAAACCTGTTCAAGTTCATTAGAGGCACACCAACACCTAATGTGGACAGATCACTCATTACAGCCAGGCCCGGAGAGACGCTGCAGCCACGCTCCCTTCTCGCCTTTAATTGCCTCATGACGAGGCAGTCCAGCACCTCTTTCTAAGCCATTAATAATTTCCAGGAGCAGCCGCCTTTCCTCCCAGAGATCTGTCAGCTGGTAAATGAGAGGAACGCATGAACATCCCCACCCCCACCAGCGACACACAGATTGATCAAGTCCACGCTCTTTCCTCCCCGTCTCCTGGCTCTTCCTGCCCTCGCCCGCTCGGGGGTTCCTGAAATGTGCCAACTTCTTCCTTTCCCCCTTGCAGACGAGACCCAAGCAAGGGTGCCTCTCCTGCCTGCCAAATGCTTTCGCCGTTCCAGAGAGCAGCTTGTCTTGATGTGATAGAACTGTTTGCGTTTTACCACCTTTCCTGCCCCCGTGGGAGGCTGCCGGGGGTGTGCAATCCTGCCGAAAGGAGCAGGCAGCTTTCCGTTCCACCTGCACAAGGTAGGGGAAATCTCCACTCAGATCCACAAGATTAAAGAACAACTGCAAATTCATAGAATCATAGAATCATTTAGCTTGGAAAAGGCCTTAAAGATCATCAAGTCCAACCGTTACCCTAGCAAGGCCAAGTCCACCACCAAACCCTGTCCCTAAGCACCACACCTACACGTCTGTTAAATGCCCCCAGGGATGGGGACTCGACCCCTTCCCTGGGCAGCCCCTTCCAGTGCTTCACAACCTTTTCAGTGAAGGAATTTCTCCCCATGTCCAACATAACCCTGCCCTGGTGCGACCTGAGGCCATTTCCCCTCGTCCCATCGCCTCTTCCCTGGGAGCAGAGCCTGAACTCCCCCGGCTCCCCCCTCCTCTCAGGCAGTTGTAGGGAGCGATGAGGGCTCCCCTCAGCCTCCTCTGCTCCAGGCTGAACACCCCCAGCTCCTCCCCAGCAGCCTGGGGCTCCAGACCCCTCCCCAGCTCCGGTGCCCTTCTCTGGACATGCTCCAGCCCCTCCAGGTCCTTCAGGGAGCGAGGGGCCCAATCCTGACCCCAGCATTCGAGGGGTGGCCTCACCAGTGCCCAGGACAGGGGAACGGTCAGTGCCCAGGTGTAGATCAAAAGAAAGCAACCAGAAACAGCCAGCCAACAGGCAGCATCACCTTGTTAGAAGGATCACTGTGCTGGGATCCTGGACACATGAACTCCAAGTCCTGTCTCAAACTCCATTCCAACTGTGTCGAGATACCCCTCCCTCTCCTGCCTCAATTATTACGCCTGAATGTTTCATATTGACTCACGGAGCAGGGACTACTCCAGTGCAACACAAGATGCACTGACAGGGAGCCAACCAGTGCTCCTAACATCCAGGTTCTGAAAGGAGCAGATATGGATTTGTGCTGATGAACTCACTGACCAAATTCCGAAGAACTGTCCACCACCCTCTCTGTTCTTTCAGGAACCCCTAAAATAAACAGAAGTGCCGGTACTGACAGAGCAGGGTGCTCAAATCATGAAGAAACCCAGTGAGGCTTCTATAAATGTGAGACTAGGCGCAGAAACGTTTGTTATTGCTAGTCTCGCTAGGATTCAGAAGAGATTCATCCATTCATTCCTTGTTGGATTCAGCAAGGCTTGAGAAGTGATGAAGATTCAGATGGGTGGGAGGCTTTTTCTACCAGGGACCTGTGGCGTGCAGCAAAGGCTGAACTCAGGGTTGGGACTCAGGAAAGAAGAGACTGAAGACCTGCAAAGCTTACAGAGCTAGGGAAAAGGCTGCTGCCATCAAAGATAAATGGCTTATCATGGTTTTGGCTGCTACAAGGCTGCTAAGGTTAAGGTAAGGAAGGATTCAGAGAGCTCAGTTACTGCTGGGTCCGCCAGGACCTGAAGGACTAGGATGACGGCCTGGGCCAAGGGCAGCGGATGGCGCGCTATCAGCCTTTCATCTCTGGCCTTCAGAAGACTACAGGCCTAAGAGAGGTTTATGCCTGGATCCTACATGGTCCATTAAAGCAGGCTGATGGCTGTGGCTAGCACAAGAGGCTGATCAGCCAGTTCAGTGGGTCGTAGGCTTAAAGGAAAAAAAAACCACAACAAACCAATGCTTTTTGCAAATAGCATCTATGTTAAAGCTGTGGTATGTCTTACCGTCTTACCAGAGGATGCTGTGGAAGCCACATTAACAACGAGGATCAGGCACAATCAGGGAGCCAACAGATTCGTCAGTGGGTATTACACCGGTCTCCGCAACCCTCAGTTCAGAACATTTCTAAGCTGCTGACCGCCCTGTAACCTCCCCTGCCCTGAACATACTTTTTCCTCTTCCCTGGTATCTCCATATACTGCAAAAGCACTGGAGGTGTTTAGCTTGCACCCACATCTTTATGCACCCGCCTGCTACCCCTCTCCTCAACACATGTAATCATAGTGCAGCCCTGGAGCTGAAGGGCAGATTCAAGGCCCTAACACCCGGCTGGAGCTGAGCTTCACCACTGAATCACTCCAAGGATACCTCCAGGAGCACCTGCCCCATGAGAATCCACTACCACAGTGTCATGCCAACACTGATTCTCCCCACAGAAACCTACCCCATCTGAATCTGCTCCCCAGCCCATGCCCCAGTTTCTCCTACTTTCTGGGAAATCTAGGATGCTTCCTATTTAACTCCAGGGCAGTCCCCAGCAGCCCCTCCTTGCCTGCTCGAGGGATGCTGTTCTGGGAGGATTCTGGAGGAGGTGTCTCTGCCAGATGCTGCTGCTGCTCCTGCGGGAGGAGAGCAGGGGCGGGTGGTTCCCACCTGGGAGCAGCACAGACTGGAGCCAAGGGCTGTGCGAGCAGCGAACACCAAACTGCTGGTGGCCTTGTCCTGCAGCAGTGCCCGGGGCTGGATGCAGCAGATCTCCTTTCTCTGCTACAGCACAGCTGAAAACGGTGGATGTGGGGGTGGACAAGAGGGGGATGCTCAGAAGAGAAGGGAAGGTAATGCACAACTGCACCAGTGCTGCTGGAGAACAACAGGGTCTGCACATTACCCCCCTCCCACGTGCAGGGACAGTTTTCATCATCTACCCTTGCCTCCCCTGCCCCGGAATGAGTAATGGCAAACTGTGAGAATAGGGAGCTCCACAACCCTCTCAGTTTGGGAAAAACATGCCAGTCGCTCCCTGCCTGGGATTGGGAAGACCTCTTTCAGAAGCCTGCTCTGCTCTGAGAAATACAAAGGTCTTTGAGGTAGGAGTTAGTTAATGAGGAAGATGTTTTGGCTAGCAACCCAGGAACTCTAGCCACTCTCCAGGCCTACCCTATTCCAGAGAGATTAGGGATAGCATAAACTGAAATCAACACTTCACTGATACAATACTTAACTTAAATCAAAAGAAAGGGTGAGGGGGGCTTTGAACAGCAGCTAAATAACAGAAAAATTATTTCCTGGCTTTTAGCACGCAATTTTGCACTCTCGTGAATTTGGTCCGGGACCTGACAGGCCAAAACAACTACTAATTGGAATTCTTCCAACAATCTTTCCTGTCAACACAGGAAAGATTCTGCCATGCCGAATGCTGCGGTTGGCGAGAGATGGGAGCCATTTTCACTAAGCCTCCATACTCAACATCCCACCAGAAAGCCACAATGATGCTGCTCCAGCAGCAGGTTCTGAGATCCAGACTTTTGTGTAGTTATCATCAGGGGGAAGAGAGTTTTCCAGACCAGGGCAACCATCCTCAGATTTAACCCCTGGGTCTGCCTAAGAGGATGAGTTACAGCAACAGACCACTGCAACAATCTGGCCAGGACTTTTCTGGCAGGGAATTCCTTTGTTTCCACAAGTCCCTCCTTCCCCCTTCTTTGCAGAGACCTACACATCCCCAGGACTCTGGAACCGGCCTTTTCTAGTAAGAACTCTCAACAGAGTTTTGGGTGCCACTCTTAAGCTTTGCTAATGAGCAGCGCATGGACGTCTCTGGGTATGGTTGACCTTTCCAGAGAGCCTCCTATTCTTTTCACATCAGCCTTGGCATTCCAGACTCTCCTTTTGCCTTATTTGAAGAGAGGAGATTGCTATACCTGCAAACCTCACAGGTAAAGAAGCAAATACACAGGCCACAGCAGCTGCAGGGCCTCCCAAATTCCCTTGCATCTGGCCACCGGGTAGAACAATGGCCACAAAGACAGGGAACTGTAGTGGATTGAAGCACCGGCTCCTCTGACTTCCATCTGCAGCCAGCCCTGACAGTTACTGAATGCAGAGCACGGCTGGGAACATCTCACACCCCACACAGAGTAAGAACAAGAGCTCATTGTATGCATCTCCCAAGACACAGGCGCTTTTCCCAGCCTCCCCGTTCCCTGTCCCTTTCCCACTGCGGAGTCACACCATTGCCTGGAGGGGACTTCACCCTGTGCTACAGCACAGACCCAGTGCTCCGCTGTCTCCACCCAGCGCCTCAGGATCCGTGGCTGGGCTGAGCAGAGTTGCTCCTTGAGATGGAAGCTGCCTTCAGGGCCTGTTCCCTCCCTCCAGAAAACACCCTACTAAGAACAAAGGCTATGGAGAAGCAGCTGACCCGGGAATGTTGGAAGGCAAAACTCATTACGGACACCACAGTGCCGATGCACGCTCAATGACCAGATACCACAGAAGTAGATACCGCAGCTGTGGGACTCACACAAACAGAGCAGGGAGAGTTCTTTGATATCGCATGGACCTTAGTCCTCGTTTGCACTCTCTTCCCAATATATGTCAGCCCCTTAAAGCTACCAAAGAACCTCATGGACAGATGTCACAAGCACAGGCAGGGGGCGAAAAGCCATACCTAACAAGTAGACTGCAAACCTTTACATCCAGCAGATTTCTGCAGTGAGCAGGCAAGCTCCAGAAACAAGGTAAAAGCTGCGTACGTTAGGTGTGGACAGACAGCTGCTATAGAACTTGTATTGTATCATCAGTAACGTTCATCACAGACGTGCCTCGTTAGGATCCCAATGTACATCCAGAAGTCCATCAGTCCAAGAGATCTCCCAAGCCTACAGGGAGGCATGGGAAGAGACCCCGGGTTTCCCTGGCTCCCAGCAACCTGCCTTCTGAACTGCAATTATCACTGCCTTTTTAGAAACCACTGGGATTCTTCTAAGGCATTGACTCATATGGCAGGCAGGACAACCCCAGATCTCAAGGATATATCTCAGCAAATCATTTTGATGTCACACTGACCTCTCAGTATCTTGGTGGGTCATGTGCTCACGTTTGCTCTCGTCCCATTCTTTGTCAGGTTACCTTCAAAAATCCACTGACTTCAACCTCAAGCTATCAAACAAGGGGGTTTCAACCTTTTCTTCCTCCTATGTCACAGATGCCTATGAGGGACACAATGCTTGTTCGTTCTGTGGTAAGTCTCAAGATTTATCCTCACGCCTTCCAATGTGCACAACAGACTAGGAGTTTATCCATTAATCTGCTGAGAGGGACCTGGGAGTCCTGGTGGATGACAAGCTGACCATGAGCCAGCAGGGTGCCCTTGTTGCCAAGAAGGCCAATGGCATCCTGGGGGGCATTAAGAGGACCGTGGCCAGCAGGGCGAGGGAGGTTCTCCTCCCCCTCTACTCTGCCCTGGTGAGACCCCACCTGGAGCACTGGGTCCAGTTCTGGGCTCCCCAGTTCAAGAA